AACGTGACTTCATTCTCCGTATGCAAATTAACCTTAGATGCGTCGTTTCAGCAACTTGACATGAAACATAATCCTTACATTTCACATTTCTAAGGGGGAAAATAACTTTCCTTTCCACAGAAAAACACGATTCATCACTTAGAATCCCCTTAAGGTCCCCTTAAGATTCTAAGGTCTAATGCCCCACACTTTTTCTATCTTAAAAGTTTTTTTAAGAGAAAATCCCTGTATAGCTTTGCAAAAGGCAAATCAGCTGTAAATTTCAGTTTCATTCAAAGATCTTTAAAGCGTTTATCGGTAGCAGAATGAAACGGGAAAAATAGTTTAATTTTTCCGTGAATACACGCAAAAGGGATTATCTCAGTTTTTAGTTTTTGTTAGGGTATAACATCCGTATTCCCAAGATGATCTTGTTTTGGTTTCAATCTATTTGAATTATAATGCAACAGGTGCCAGTTTCAAATATAATTATGTCAATGAAATCGCCGAAGAGATCAATTGTGAAAAATGGCTTATTCGGCTATTTCATATGATCAAGCTGTTCTTTCCGCGAGATCGTCAAGACAGAGTGTGGTCCCAGTAGGGGTCTGGAGGGAAATGTGTTGGTCGCAGAGTGCATGAATGATATTACGTCGCGCTTAGCCAGCTGTCACTTGTCTAAGTGTAGCAAAGTCAATGACTGAATGAACTCATTTTAGCGAGAGTAGAGGTTTGGTAGGTATTCGGAACTGAAATGACAATCTGCCCAAGGCACAGACACTAAATAGTCTGTGTACAGACCCCCCTCCCATTAGGAAAAATCGGAGAAGGGGCTGGTGGGGGGTGGTGTGTACACAGGCTAACACTAAATGACAACCTGCCCAAGGCACAGACACCTACTTGGCAGGTTTTTGGAGCGCCAAGGTCTTGTTAGGCTCGATTGTAAGCCGCACTAAGCCGCTGTGCTGGAAAATGAGCCCCCAAGGGACCGGGAGACGGCGAAAATCGAGCCTAAGGTCTTGTCAATACCCCGGTCACACTCCGGATCATACTGGCAAAATAACTACTGTGTAAAAGTATTTACTTTACTACCTAAGGTCACCAGCGAAATAAGTCAAAGTTTTGCTCCATCATGTAAGTATCATTCTTTTTTCTTCTTCATGCAAAAAATTTCTTTACGTACAGAGATATTCTAATTTCTCTATTTAACATTTTATATTGCGATGTTTTCAGATGTTTGTTTGCAGTTTATTTGAGCTTGCAAAGATAATTTTTTTATTTCTATTTTTTGACAGCCGTGTATCTTGCCCTAACCAATTCGTACCTTTAAAATACTATACATAAAGGTTAATGCGTGTGTTGTAAAAGATAGTTTTCTGATGATTGTTTGAAGAGCATTATAAATGGAAAAAAAAGAAAGAACTTTCTACACTGAGTCAGGATTCAACCTCGTCCCCAGGGCTTTCCCGCCCCTGCCATTTTCTAAGAGGAATGTCCTGGGGACGTGTATAAAAGGTATTTCATTTTTGCAATAAAAATAATTTTTTTAACTTAAACAGTGTTTAAAACATGTCTCTGGTTTTGTAAAAATTAGTGAGACTTTAAAGTACCAGAATGTTTAGTTCAACTTTATATAGCCGATTTGCTCCTCCTGTCGCAAGAAACGTGAAAAAACTGGACGCCAAAGGGTCGAGAAGAGTACGATTGATCAGTCAGCAACCATGTCCACACCTTTGCCGGAGAGGTTTATTATACAAGATTTCTCTGTTTTTCTTGTTTTGATAACGTTTTCATTAAGTCTTCAAAAATGCCTCCAGATTCCTGTTTTTTTTTTTTTGTATTTATACCCTCTTGAACAATGTGCTCCATCAAAGTGTTCCTCTCATCTCTCTATTTTTAACCTACTTTAGCATTCACCCTCTCTCCCCCCGGTTTCACCTCTACTTTTACAAGCATTTATAATTAAAGGGGTGAAATTTCTCCTGTGTATATTAATTTCTGATTCTTAAACATAGTTCTTTTTTCTTTAAGAACAGCCAAAGATGCTGCTTAGGCCGCAATAAGCGCACTCGCCCTTTCATATACTTCATCTAGTGAAATGCCTACCCTTTCGTATACCTGAAGCCTGAGAAAGATACCCCTTTCGGGCGGAGCCTCCCCGTATAGGCCATCATAGGGAGTCCCCCCCCCCACTCGTTCCAATTCCGTGCTCACCTATTGCCAGCCCATGTTGGACTCTAGGCCCGTTTGAGTCAACACCTAAACATAGTCCTAAGTGTAATTACAATAACGACGAAATAACCAATGTAACGAACTTGAGTATAAATTGATCTTGACCACAGAGATCTGCTGCAAGAAGACGAGGTGTTCGAAAGGCAAAATTTTGTTGCAGGAATCGCTGAAGAGTATAATTGAAACCACAACACCCTCAATCAGAAGCTTTCAACTTATGTGTATGATGTCAAAGGAAGATCAACCTACTAGTAACAGAGCCGTAGGGCAGCTGCACCCCCCCCCCCCC